CAATTGAAGCTAAATTATACCAATTATTCAAAACTTCTTCTGTTTGCTATAATACAGGCTATAATTTACCCCTTTACAATATGCAATTTCTAAGGATATTCTAGAGAATAGGTAGGCAAACTCTGCAAACTCTACAACTCCACTAAATATCTATTAATAATTACTAATTATTAGTGGAGTTTATTTTTTATATTGCTCACCTATTCTATTGAACATTCATTTCTAGTTTATGCATAAGAAAATCAATGATAAAAATTAGCCAATCAAATATATTGAAATAACTGATATATAGGATAATTTAACTTTATTTAATAATCATTTGTGATATTTGCAAATTAGATTTTCAAATTTGCATCATTCAAAATAAATTTGTTCTATGTAAATTTTGTAATTACTGTGAATTTGTCCTACATTAAAAATCAATTTATGATTAGATAATTTCTAAATCAATTATAAACAATTATCTCTTTTGAATCTACTTGCAATCATGACTTCTAGATAGGTTTTAGATAGTTTTTATTAAAATGAGTAAAATGAGCAAAAGGTAATAAAACTAAAAATATTAGCTTTTTAATAAGATTTTATATCAGGTTTTCTGGCTTTTGTTTATTTTATTTCTTTTTAATACTTTCATATTTACAAAACTTTTTTTAAAATTTTTAGACTATCATGCTAAATATATTTGAGTTACATAGAAGACAGAAGACCAAGAAACAAATTTTTGAAATATTTATTTTGAAAAAATATTTGTAAAAGTATCAGTGTAAAGTGAAATATTCTTCATAAAAAAATTATGAACTAATTTAAAAAATGATATATTTAATATTCATTTTCTTAGAGACTTGCCATTTTTTTTAAATTTGACTTACTATGTTATTTTTAATAAATTTATTATATTCTCCTATATAGATTAATTTTATACTGCATTATTAAAAAGTCTTAAAAATTATCTTTCATGTTTTAAATTTGTGTGCAATTTATTTACAGCATTAACGCTATGTAATACTTCTAAATTTAATTATCACATCATGTGATATAATTGATTGGAGTCAAATTCGCCCATATGACAAATATTAAAGTTTTAGTGTATAGATAGATGTCTTGTTCACTTTTATTAGATTAAGGGCACTAACATTTATTACGTAATATTTTAGATGGTGGGGATTAAGCGCATACTATATCGATATCTTACATTACACAAAGAAATTAGTATAATCAAATTCTTTTTAAATTGCCCAATCATATTGGATCTTTTGTGGGAGGGAGAGGTTGGAACCGATTTAAATATTCGAGTTTATCACATCAAAATTCGAGTTTATCACATCAATTATTAATAATTCATGTAATAAACTCGAATTTTGGTGTGATTAACTCGAATTTTGATGTGATAAACTCGAATATTTAAACGGGGAGCCCTCATAGTAAATGGATATAGCGTAATAAATGTCAGCGTCCTAATCTCCATTTATCATTCGTTTTAGGTTCCAAACCCCGCTTATGTGGATTCTGTATCTTAAATATTTTGGATCCACTTCACAAGAAATAAAATTACTCGAAAAAACAGCATATGCCTTTATTTGTTCATGATAAAAAAATAATAAAAGCGGTTTACTAAATATAATAAAAAAAAGTGTTTAAATACAATAAAAAAACAAAAGAAATTTGTACTGATTACATATGATTCTGCAATTTGATAAGAAGAAAACTTATCTTAAGCTACGCTATTGGTCAATAAATTTTTTAAATTCAGGATCATGTTTCAAATTTTCCAAAATTTCAGTTGGCAAACAAATGTAAACTTCTATTTCTTCATCTTCGGCACCAAGTATCATAGCTATCCCATTGATATCTACTCCTCCCCTTAATCTCTGTTTTATAGGAGTTCCATCACCAAAATCTACTAAATTACGCACAGGAAATTTTGGCATAGTAACTATTGCAAAATCTTTGTCATTAAATGCTAATACAGGCAGAATCAATGATTTATCTGGTTGTTGTTCAAACCAATCAATTAAGGATCGAATGCGACTATTATTCGTATCTATAAAAGCCTTTTGAACTTGAAGTGCTACTGTAGGTGGTGAATCATTAATCAATTGGGAGACAATCATTTTTGGACGTATATAACTAAAAAACAATAAATAAAATTAATTAATAGTAAAGTTATTTTTAAGCGTATAAAAAAAAAATAGAAATAATAATAATAATATTTACATGGAAACGTTTCCAAAATAAGTTTTAGGAATAGGTGGGTTTAATCTATCACGTCCATTGATAGCCAATCCACAAAATACTTCAGTATTTAAATCAACATTTCGAGCTCTAGTGACCGTCCTCCAAATATGAGTTACAAGTGCATCATTTGTTGAAATCAAATTCTCATTAGAAATATCAACAGAATAATAATCACGTAATCTCTTAATATTGTCTTGATTAAAACGAAAAATTTTGGTAGTTAAAGACGGATTTGCAGAAAATTGTGGTACGTTAAGTCCCGGTTTAATTAATATATATTCGTGAGGGACATGTGTTGGAGGATTACCACTTGCTTTTAACAAACTTCGATCAAGAACAGGTGGATCAATCTGTTCTAAACGAGCTTTCCGACCCCAATTTTCCAAAAAAGTAACAAGACCAAAACCATCTACAACATGATGGTGCATAGAAAAACCAAGAGCTACGGATCCATCAGCAAAAGTAGTGTGTTGTATTATAAATAGAATTGGATCGGTTTTATTATATGTTGATTGTGGCATTAATCCATGAGGAGTAACTGCATGTTCCCAATTCTTTTCTTCAAGTTGACTAATTATAATATCAGAACACTCGGCAATGATAAATTGAATACCATGATCATTACAATCAATGATAGGTCTGCCATCGGATTCACTTTTAATTGTACCAGCCAGAGGATAATAATCGGTTAACACATCTTCAAGCGAAGTTAAAAGTTTTTGAGTATTCATAAAATTATCCTTTTTTAAGACATTTTTAAAAAAATAAATGAACCCATAATAATGCGGTGGCATGGAAAGGTCACAATTAGAAAGCGGGATTTGAACATTGTTCGTTGGCTTGGCTGGTTTAACGAAAAGGGTCTCTTTAATTATGATAGGCATGTTTAAATAGTATGCAATTATCAGATTTGAACGTATATCATTAAAATTTTGAGGTCAAGATTTTATAGTAAATACTCGGTCATATGAAGACTCGAGAGTTCACTTTGTATGACTAGAGATCTACAAGATTATCTTCCCATAGTGAGAAATAAATATATTAGTCATGATGATGAACGATTTATACTCGCTCGTTTTGGAAAAACGACTTTCAGGAATTTTTACCAACTTGAATGAATTTAAAATCTCATTCAATTCAAGTGCATTTAGAATCTATAGTAATTAGAAGGTTTCAGACTTAACTAATTTTGAATAAAAAATAAATGGAGTTAATCAATAATTAAATTAGCTTCTTTTAATAGATACCCAACGATAAACGACTATGTAAATAAATTTATCTTGTGGGTACTATGTAAACACTGACGAAAAAAATTTCACATTATTTCCACAAATTTTTACTAAAATCATGTGACTTTTAATATAAAAATCTGCAGAAGTAATATAAAACTCTTTCCGTACGTAAGTGTATACGTCATATCTGCCAGATTAACTAGTTATATGCGGAACATGGGCATCGACAGTATAATTTCAACGCACGAGGCCTTCGGCCACGTGCTTTTACTATTATCCTGCATATACCCATGTATCCGCCAGATAACAAGGAAATGAACGCCGCAAAGGAAAAACCCGAAATTCATAATTTTCGGAAACTCCACTTTTAGAAACGGAGAACATCAAATTCTTATAAGCTGTTTTGAAAATAAAATACGTACGTACAGTCAACCCTCTATGTAATCACTTAGCTGGGAGTATAGGAACTTTTTTAAAAATGTGCTTATAAAGAGATTGTGCTTATATAGAGTTTTTCTATATATTTATAGCAGTCTATTTAACAAAATTAAGTGCTTATATAGAGGTGAGATTATAAAAAATGTGACCATATAGAGGTCTGACTTTATCTGAAAACTAACAATTCCAGGGGTTTCTCTTGTTGCACTCGTATATGGGGAAACCTGTCAATTATATTCTGTGTACAATTAGCCGTCTATGGAAAATCTATCATAATAATAGATTTTTCATAGACAGCTAACTGTACACAAAATATAATTGAAAGTCCGATGACAGGTTTTCCTTGGTGGCACTAATATACAGAGGGTATCGGATTTAGAAAACATAACAAACTCGGACTTGGTAGATTAAATTTTTATCAGATTTGACAGGCTATCGATTTTAACAGGATCGGATTTGAGAGTGTCGACATTATTATACAGGAATTTTTTTTGTATACATATTGCACGGCAATTGTTAAATTCTGTGCAAATAAAAATACACGCAACCCAGTACGTATGACGACAAATACGTATCGTATTACCGGAACAGTATGGTGCAATTTTAAAATAGGTATATTTACAACTATGTATCAATCTTTGACGGTTATTTCCGCTAAATGACTTGTTAGGTAAATGACTGTTAGGAATTGAGCGACGTTAGTATTTGCATCTTCATATCACACAGATCTGTTCATCCATACATACTAGACTCGATGTTTATAGTAATGAAATTCGATAATTCTCACATGTAGTATTTAAATATAATTTGCTTTTCTAGTGCCAATAATTTTAAAATTTGTATTGTATTTCTTTTATTTTCTTTTTTTTTTTATAAATTGATGAATTATGCACATAATCTTTGCTTTTCATCAATAATACAATTTTTGGTTTATTTTATTTAATATCTTAACGGCGTGTAAGATCGAATAAATTGTATTATTTTAAGCAATAGAAACTATAGAAACAATAGGAAAGATGACACTATCACAAAATTTATTATTTAATTTTAGTTTTAAAGATTTCTTAATTTTATTGCTATCTTTAGTGTTACTATATGTTGGTCATTTCTATTACAAATATTTTACTCGAGTTAACAAACTCCCAGGACCATTTCCATTACCCATAATCGGATCTGTTTGTATTAATTTATTATTGTTTTTTTGAGGTCGTTATAAATTTATCATTATAATTTTTTTAAAAAAGAAATCAATATCAATTTTTATATTTTTATAGCTTTGGAATAAAAAACGGGATAATTATACTACTTGGCTTCTTAAGCTCCAACAACAATATGGTGATGTATTTGAAGTTTGGTTAAGTAATAAACGCAAGGTTTATATATGTAATCCTGAATATTTTGATAAATTACTTCCACCTGCTACAACTACTAAATGGTTTAATCGAGTTGGAAAAAATGATGGCCTTCACGAACTTGGTTTGACCCAGTGGGGAATAGCGACAAATGATAACCTAGAAAGTTGGAAATTTAATAGACTCTTTTTTAATCAAGCTATGCTTACTCCTAGTTTTAATATTAAAGCTATTAATACTACTAACAGAATGTGGAAAGAGATGGAACAATGTTGGAATAATTTTGGTGATGATTATCAAATCGTGTTAAATGAATGGATGAGACGTTTTGCTACTGATATGATTATTGAAATTACTACTGGAAAAAGGGCTTATACATTGCCTGTATATTTTAATAAATTTACTACTAAAAAACTTTTTGATATTCCATCTGCTGTATTAGATGATTCTGAATATTTTATCCAAAATATGGAAAAGTATGTTTCTTCATTCACGACATTCGTTCTTTTCCCGTATTACATTAGGCATTATGTACCAATACTTAGAAATATGGCCAAGGCAGGAATAAAAAGTTGTAATATTGTACATGGAAAAATTTTGGAAATTATTAAGAATAGAAGGAAAGAAATCGAAGAGAAGAATGATGATGCGTCATTTAGCGATATGCTATCATTACTGATTGTGGCTAATACTGAAAGGGATAGTAATAAGAGTAAAAAGTCTGATTTACGACCTATGACTGACTTTGAAATTGTTGGAAATATTAGGGATGCCTTTATTGCTGGAAGCGGAACAGTAACTATAATTTAATTTTATTATCTGTTATAATAACTGTTACTTTTTATAAATATCTAATTTTATTGATTTAATAGATCGCAAATATGACCTGCGTAACCGTCTATTATATATGTAAAAATCCAAATGTTTTAAAAAAACTTCGTCAAGAACTTGACTCGGTCTTTGGTGAAGATCGTGATCGTCAATTCACTTTAGACGACCTCTCTAAATTAAAATATTGCGAAGCAGTAATCAATGAATCTTCAAGAATGCGTCCTATCTCTCATTCAGCTACTCGTTTAAACACTGAACCTGATGAATTACTCGGTTATCAATGGCCGGCACGTTCTGAATTTATAATGTTTTTTTGAAGCTGGAAATAAAAATTCAAAGTATTGGAAAGATCCAGAGATCTTTAATCCAGATAGATTTATGTGTGATGACAACACGGTTAAAAAGAATTTTATATTTTTTGGTAGAGGAATCCGACAATGCCCTGGTAGGAAATTGTCGATGATTGAGTTAAAAGGAATTATTGCAATGTTATTTAGAAAGTATGATGTTACTTTGATGAACGAAGAGTTACATTATAAAAGCACGGTAATTAATTCTATGATTGAAAAAATGTCTTTAAAAATTACACCTAGAAAAGATACTATAATTAACTAAAATTATAGCCACTACTTTTTGTTTTTTTTTAAATAAGACAATATATACGTATATAAATTTATATAATTTAAAATATTGTTGAACAACGAACAAAAATGTTAATATAATCTCAAGAGCATCTTACTTAAGTGTTAAATTATTGTTGTGTTTCATTTAGTATGATTAATAAATTTATACGTAAAACATATAAGTATAATACAAGTTACTATAAGAATTATAAATATAATGAATAGTTTATATAAAAACACTCTCGATATAGTTGATTTACTAATAGACTCACAATATAATAAAGAAAATTTCACAACCCGATCACTTCACTATAACGAGTGTGACTTAAATGTGTGCCAATGCCATCTTTAATTGTATATTTTAAGATGGTACATAATACATTAGGGGTGATAGAAACTATGATATGAATCAAATTTCGTGATCATATCATAAGGCATAAAAGAAAGTTTGGAGTAAATTAGGTTTGCTTAATATTATTTAATAATATGTCAACCCAAGTGTTTGGCATCGATCCGTATCACTAGCCTATTAAGGTAAAACAGTATAGAATAGATAGTAAATGATAATAATATGGTAAATAGGTTGAAAGTTTTCTCTTTTATTGCTATGCTTCTCTTTTCTTTTTTTATTGGTGCATTCGTCTATATCTTTTAATTATAATTCGGCAAATATAATTAAAAATTAATTATTTTAAATAAAGATTTTATTTAATGAAATATAGCAGATTTATTCTATAATCCAATTAATTAATTGTTAAAAACACCAATTTCTAAATATCTAAATATTCTAAAACAATTAGTATTAAATATATATATTTTAGGGAAGATTTAATAATCTATTTTTGAAATCCGTAAATCAATTCCAGGAAAAGGTTTAGTTAAATTAGTAGACTTCATTTCAAAAGTAAAACCTTCAACTAATTTAAGCTTAAAATTTCTAATAATTATAGACAAAATTGATTTAAATTCCAGTTGAGCAAATTTTGTTCCTAAACAACTTTTAGGACCTGCACTAAAAGGTATAAAATTATTACTTGATACTTTCGATTTTATTTCCGGATCAAGCCACCGAGATGGGTTAAAATGATTAGCATCATCACCCCAAATTGAAGGATCATGATGAATTGCATAAATAGGAATCTTTAATATAGTGTTCTAAATGAAAAATTTAAAAGTTATATTATTAAAAAAAAACAATAAATTAAAATATGTAAATTGTTAGAAATTACCTTTGGAATAACGTAACCATTCATAATTTCATCTTTTAAAGTATACCGCGTGACTGACGGCGCTTTTAATCATAAATAGAATAAATTAGAGATAGATGAATAAATTGAATAAATGAAAGAGGAAAAGAATATTGCACTATACCAGGAGGAGCGATTCTTAGAGTCTCTTTAAAAACACAATCTAAATATTTCATCTGTTCAATTTTATCAAATGTTGGAAAATAATTACTATCAATAAACGCATCGAGTACTTCTTTACGAAGGCGATCTTGTATATCAGGATTTTTTGCAAGAAAGTATAGGACCCAATTTAGCGAGGCACTAGTTGATTCATGTCCAGCAACAAGGAATGTCATAACCTTAAATTTAAAAAAATTTTAAACTTAAATAAAATTTAATTTCATAAAAATATATATTGAATTTAATAATATTAAAGCACACCAGTGGTGTTGTTTGACACCATATCACCATATATAATTTTACAATTAAAAATTTAGGTATGTTATTGCTATAAATGAATTAAAATTAGCATGGGGAATCAAAATTTATGCTAGCATAAGATTTTTGGTTTATCGACAACCACTTCGCCGACAAATCTTCCCCGACAAATCTTTCCAGCATAACTATTTTCCCGACAAATCTTCCCGACATAACTATTTTCCCGACACCATTTCTCCAACGTAACCATTTCCGACAACCATTTCCTAAACTACCATGGAATTTCCGTGATTATTGGGAAATAATCATGCTGAGAAATTATCGTTGGGAAATGGTCATGCCGAGGAAATAATCGTTCATGCCGGGGAAATGATTGTCGGGAAAATGTTCGGGAAATATTTGTCGTGAAAATCGTCGTCATGGAAATGGTTATTTAATGATTGTCGGTAAACCAGGATTTTTAGAGTTCTAACCATTTTTACTTAAGATCGATTTTTTATATCACTACTGATGTGCTTTAATAAACTCATTGAAGCTATATATGTTAATTATTACCTGACCAACAACTTCATCATGTGTTAATTGTTCATCAACAGGTAAGTTTTTATTTGTTTTTATCAAAAAAGATAATAAATTTTTTCTGGAAGTATTTGTTTGTTCAGCAACTATTCTTTCGGCAACATTAAGAAAAATATTAAAAGATTTAAAATGTAGAATGTTCCTTATGAACGGAAAGAGATCAGTAAGAGCCAAGTATAGTATTGGAGGGTCAACATTAAGTATTGAATTATATGCTCGAACTAATTCAGAATCTGAAGTAGCAGCGTTAAATTCGTAATTAAATCCTATTAAAATAATGGTATATATGATTAAAATTAAAAAATACCATTGATGAAATCTAACACGTAGAATGAATACAGACCAACAAGGCCAATAACATCTAAAGTTATCCTTGAAATTATTGCCGTAATGCTAATTCTTTCTTCTTTCTTATTACCAATTTGCTTCATCCAAATATCTTTCAATTTATGGCCAGCTTGCGCGAATATTGGAACCATTTCCTTTAAATAATTAAATAATTATAATTTATAATTATAATTTATAAGGATTAAAAACTTCTTTTTTTTTTAATGGATAATAATATTGATGATCATAAAAGGATACGTACTTTGATATTAGCAAATGCAAATGTAGGAATGACCACTTTTCTTTGTCGTTTATGGACTTCTCCATCAGCAAATACAACACCATCACCTAAAATTTTTTTAACTGAAGCACTGTCGAAGAAATATTTTGGAAAATCATAAGAACGATTTACCAATATTTTCTGGATAAGTTTTGGATCAGTAATAAATATATTAGGTTTGTTCAATATGTTGTGAACTCGAACTATTCCACCATATTGCTTTGTTACGTGAGCCAAAGTTTCACCTTCTTTTTTTGATAAAGAAACATAATGTCCAAGAATGAAATTATCAACAGGTGGACCTGGAATTTTACGTAATGGTGACAAATATAAGGGATAAATATACCATTTGTATAAAACGTAACCAATAAATGCAACAAATGCAGCTAAATAGTAATTCATTCTAGGTATAAATGTTAATAGTAATGAATATAGTATACTGGTCTGATTTGTATAAGAAAATTCCATCATTTTATATTAGATTTCTTATGATAATCCTTTCCACGTTTTAAAAGTCGGAGAATTTAGAGCATTTAGTACACCGAGATTTACGTATACTATCAGATATGCGCTTACGTACGTATGTAGGCCCTGAATAGTCCAACTTTCATTATCTTATATATCTGAATCACTTTATTGATTGCTTAAAGCAGGTTAATATAATAAAATTTTGCGTATTCATTGTCAAATTCTATCAGAGTATGGTTAATTGTCCTGACGAAGCAGAGTAAGATCTTTTAAAGATATTCTCCTGTTTTTCGAGATACAAAAGAATTGATATGCATTGAATTAGAAGAGTTCGTAAACAAATACTCTAACGCAGATACTCAAAATAATTATTCACTATATTTGGTTTTTTTTTATTGCATAAATTTTCATAACTGTGGGATTATTGCATTTTTACATTACAACCAACCCCCGCAATAGTCGTATCTCGAAATAGTCACAATCTCGCTATAATCACCTTAACCTGCTACGTAATAATATATATACTATAAATTTTTCTCACATTCTCATAATAGACACATAAAAAGGTTGATTTTAGAATGTGATTATTGCGAGAAATGACTTATTTATTTATTTTTACATTAAAACTAATCAGTTGTAATTCTAACCTTAAATAATAACCTGATTCCCTGGATCTGCTAACCTATGAGATGTAAAATTTTCGATGTGTGCATGTGAAGATCGCACATGAGGGCGCTCACCCGAATTTTTAGACCACCTATGACATAATGATCTTCGTAATTTAAGGGTTGATTTATCATGATAAGGAATAAAAACTATTCTTGCGAGATTTTAATAAAAAAATATTGCCCAATATACTTTCCTTTGACTTAATCAGTGCTTTAAAAGTAATGATACAGGTCGATTAAAAATTATTGGCTGGGGTCGGTCCTAAAAAGGTTCGGGCCGACCATATTATTAGTACAATTATTCTAATCAGAAATAATCACCATAATTATATAGAACGTGTGAATGATGGTCAATTGTCTTGAATCCGAACATTCCAAATTTTATATTCGTATTATTTGCCAATTATTATTTAAATTAGCCAATTAAATGAATATTTACATTCAATTTCTTAGCCTTAGAAGAGAGATGTCTTTTATCAACCGGCCTGGCCCATGAAGATGCAGCTGAGGGTCGACCTGCCCATCGACCCGGCCGTTGGGCTGGGGCAAGCCTGTATCATTATTTAAAAGGTGATAAAAAAATTTGCGAAATAGATGCAATATTTGTAGAAGTTCTCTTGATATTCGGCAAGTTTATGTGTATATTTAAAATAATACAAATTAAATTTTCTGAATATTAAATTATAATTTAAATATGGTATATGTTAATAGAATTAAAATTACAAAATAAAAAATAAAAAATTAATTTGAATTATCATAATGAAAGAAGAAAATGAGGTTTTGGACTTTCAATTTATTATTTATAAGCTGCCGGATTTGGCCTTTAAAAAAATCTGATACAGTAGTAACATTTATAACATGAAACCACACATCGATATAATAAATATTAATTATTAGATTTTCACGAGCTGAATCTGTTAAATAATAAATGATAAACTTGAAAGCCAAAGTTTAATTCACTCTTGGTAATGTTCAAATGATTTTTATACATTTTGGGTTCATA